GCTCAGAGAGTTTCTTTTTAATTCAGAGTCACCACTAACCCACTGTCAAAAATCAAGCCCATTATAAGTAAGTTCACTCATCAATGATTTTCTTTCATTTCTCCGTAAACCATCCACCCACCATACCCACCTGCACTTCACTTGATCTTCTCATGTGCACACCCACAGCGAATCACAGCTCTGGGCTCCCACTCTAATGCAGTTTACTCAATGGCCTAATCTGCGTCACAACAGCCCCAGTGAGTTGTTAATGATTTTACCACTTACATTTGAAGGAGGAGCCGCCATTTGTAACATCTGAGTATTTTAGAACATCAGGATTCTTGACTCCTTCCCCATTGAGCTTGTTTTTGAGCCCAGAGTAAAGGTTCTGTTCTCTCAACACACAAACAGGTAAGCTAGGTAGCCAAAGCTCTGTCCTTTCGTAAGGCCATACTGTTCAAAGTCAGCTTTGCCTGTTTTCTTCATATCGCTTTCAGGATTCAAAGTTATCAAAATGAAGTAACGCTGTAATCAGACTTCACAAGGTCAACCCATGAATAAAAGAGCACACATTTAGGAAGACCACACACTTGAGGATTCTGAAGCTGACCTGGCCCAGCATCCTTTATCTCTAGTCTTTCTGTCTCATTCCTGACAACAATAATAATAATGACCATAGCAACTGATAATAATAATAATAATTATTATTATTGGTATTACTCCGTATTTACTTAGGATGCTCTTTTTGATTGCCTACATCATCTAATGGTATGTGACTTGCTTACTTTACTATGGTTGCCTAGTGAGGAAGAACGACACAGTGATAAAATACCAGCCACTGGACACTCTCATCACGGGATCACAGAGAAGACACATCCCTGTTGGTACTTGCTTCTTGGTTTATACCAAAACCAAGGAATGAAAGCATCAGTAAGGCCCCAGAGAAGGTTCTCATGTTAATGTCCAAAGGCCCAATGTAACATTCTGTGATGGTGGACGACACATTCTATACATGTACTGACCAATGCAGTGTGGCTACTGTGCCCTTCACCTGTGGCTGGTGGGACAGTGGAACTGAAGTTTTAGCTGTATTAATTTTAATCACTAAAATTTAAGGCCATGTGTGGTGGCTGACGCCAGTAAGCCTAGAACTTTGGGAGGCTGAGGAGGGAAGATTGCTTGAAGCCAGGAGTTCGAGACCAGACTGCACAACATAGCGAGACCCTGTCTCTAAAAAATTAAAAAAAAAAAAACAAAAAAAACCCCAGCCAGGTGTGGTGGTGCATACCTGTTGTCCCAGCCACTTGAGAGGCTGAGGCAGGAGGATTGAGCCCAGGAGTTTGAGATTGCAGTGAGCTATGATTGCATCACTGCACTCCAGCCTGGGCAATAGAGTGACACCCCATCTCTAAAAGGAGATTAAAAAAAATTTAATTGCCACATGTGGCTTATGGCTACCATATTAAACACTCCAGCTCTAGATACCTGCCCCCCCACCCCCATCATCTCAAGAAGTTTTTGCCTTGGTCCTTAAAGACTGGAATCTGATTTTTGCAAAACTGTTTATGATCAAAGCACCTGAGAACGTCTGTAGAAAACATGCCAACTCCTACTAGGGGAGACATATTCTATGTCATTACCACTGCAGAGAAAAGGCTAAGTGGCTTCTCAGAGCACACTGAGAAGTGTTCCTCCGCAACCACCAGGGGTCACTGAATTTGGAACAGGGTCCCCAGGGGTTGCTATGAACACACTCCAGGCAGCTAAGCCACAAGCAAAGAACTAAAAAAAGAAATTCTGAGTGGCTTGAAAGACTATCTTGAAAAACAAAAACAGTGGAATGAAACCAGTGGGTGTCTTGTCAGCCTTAAGCAACCATTACCACTAGCCAAAAGGACAGAACTAATTGCTTACTTAAAAGGAAAAGGAAAAGGAGGGGGAAAAAAAAAGAAAGAAAAAAAGAGAAAACAACCAAATCAGAAACTATCTAAGGAATGTAAGTAGTTTCCACAGACACTTCTCGTCAAATGGGCTGTGATGGGTATTTCAACATGGCCATTTCCTCTCTCCTTTCCATCCTTCCCTTTACCCCTACTCCCTCCACACTTGATGGAGACACCTCTTTCTTAAATTTAATTACTTTTGTTTACCTGTCTCATAAGGGGATAAAGCAGATGGCACGAATGGTCTCCT